AGTGTTGATGAAAATCATGGATGGAAGAGACCATCAAATTGAGTATGAGTGTTGACCGAGCTTTGGCCAAATAGATTTCGAATAGCTCAAGAGTTGTCTCATATCATATCGTTTACACCCTTAAACACAAGTACACACATTATTATATACTAGAATGGTACTCTCACAATGCAGCGAGATACATCTTAATTTTAATATTTCATTTTATTTTTTATCTCAGTCGATGTTATGGTATGGTCTTATGTGATTTTGAAAAAACAATGATATTTTTATTTTTAAATAAAATATAAATTTGAAGATATCATAAAATTTTGACAAAAATATATCGATATTAGTATCAAATTAACTATTTAAAATTATTATTTTTCGTGTAATTTTTAATTCAATTTTTTTGTTATCATTTAATTTAGGTTCAATAACGAAATAATTTATATTTGATTTAATAATATAATTTTATTATAAAGATAACAATTAATTATTTTGTTATAACTCGATTATTATCCTAATTATATTTTAGATTTTTTATATTTTAAAATGATGTTTATCTTCTATTTAATTATGTTTATCCGCAGCTAGTTACACGAATTCAAACATGAAGCTTTATTAAGTTGTATTTACGCACACTTTACTTGTAATTATGAATTTTAAGTAATATGTATCAATAAACAGTACTTCATGCATAATAAATGATTTTTAAGAGTTTTTGTCAAATACTTTATAATAATGTAATATAAATAAAACAAGAAGCCTAATCGATCAGTTTGACTTTTCAAATCCAAAACCTCAAAAACTTTAAAAGTTATCTGTTTTCCTTGTTATCGTGTTCTCCTTGTTATCGTGTTCACATCTATTATTCTACCAGTAGACGTTGGTTAGGATTTCTTGGAAACTACAAGGAATTGGGTCCACAATCTTGCCACGTCACCTTTCATCATTTTTAACTTGAAGTTTTATATAAAATCATACATTTTAATTGTAAGGGATAATCATAAAAATCAACAAAATTGGAGTTCATTAATCACAAAAATGGAAATTGGACTTCAAAGGTCAAAAATATCAGGAAATCTCAGGTTTAAATTCAGGGAGGAATAAAAATTCTCTTTTGGCTATGGAGGTTCAAATGCGGTGACTCCGGGCTATCTGCAAAACAAGTGGTCGTCCTGAAATTAGTCGGCTCACATAACGAATTGGATATCCATGTTAATAAAAAAAAATGGAAATGGGCACAAACAGACCATTTATTTCACAAAGTTGGTGATTTTGAATTTGAAGCAAGATTCTTGATATCTTCTTCTAGTCAAGAAAGGATGGACCAATGTAACAAACAAATCCATCCCCACCTTACTTACTTACTTACTTACCATAAAAGCACAAAGAGCACCAAATTTCTACATGTTCACACTACATTGACCAATACATACTCTTATCGTTTAACACTACATCATATTCAACGATCCCTTTCAACATGTCAATTCTTTTAATTTCCAGAGATAAAAAGCCTGAATCCAAACAATCTACTGTAATATTGATGAAAATTACAAGCTATTATAGCATGATTGTTCTGGACGATCAAGATTGTAGCTCTCCCAGATATACGTGTCATAGACAAGTGTGTTTAGTGTGTCCAATCATGGGCCCGAATACTTTTAAGAAACCTTATAGTCAACATTTGAAGATCTCTCTCTACATGTATATATATATATATATATATATATATATATTCTCCTATATATACATACATGCATGATATCCATTTTAGCTACAATCATCATTCATTCCTTGAAGTAGAAATGGAGATAAAAGGGAAGAGTACAAAGAAGCATAAAACCATGATTCCACCAAGGAGGGGTAAAATCAAAAAGAGGATATTCAAGAAAATTCTCAACATGACGCTTTGTCTAACTCGAATTCAGATTGCAAGAAAGAAACAAGTCTTTTCGTAACTTGAAGGTTGCGGTCTTGATCCTCCAACTAAGAAATAAAGGTAAATTTACCATGTCTTACTCGTTGAAATCATCTAACTATTTAACCACAAGGGTGGTGCCTGATTGGTTTGAGCTTGACTCCAAAGCTCAAAAGTACCTGGAGGTCCCAGGTTCAAATCCAAGGAGTAATAAAAACCCCCTTGTGGCCACGGAAGTTCAAATGCGGTGATTCCAGGCTATCTGCAAAGCAGGTGGTCGTCCTGGGATTAGTCGGCTCGCATAGCGGGTTGGATATCCAGGTTAATAAAAAAAAAAATCATCTAACCGTTTATATTTTTGTTGTATGTGAAAAATTCGAGAATGCAACTATGAATTTCATCAAAAAATGATATAAGAACCATGTTTTGAAATAGGAAAATGAAGACGAATAGAGCGATTTTCAAATTTATCCTTTTGTTGATAGCGAATCAAAACTTATGGCTTCTTGGTATCTTTTTGCAGCGTGAATCTATTATGACAAGTTGGTGGCGCAAATTAAATGATGATCTCATCATCGAGGATTGATGAGTTATACTTACGTGACGTATATGTTATAACATGATGTAAGGATAAAATAGTCATTTTAGTTTTGTTTTTGATCCTGTAGTCACGTTTTACTTGTTTAGAATAGTCGAAATTGTTATAATCTTACAGGTCATAAGCCATATAATCATATATTATGTCCATATAAGTGATGTATACATTTGTCAAGATTGTAAATTATTTTAAATTTTTTTGTTTACGTCATTTTCTTTAATTTATAAATATTAATCGATGTTTGGGGTCGTTGGATGTAGAGACCTCGAGGACAATTATGTCATTTAAATTGGTCAAAGAACCAAATTTTGTGTCGATGGTGACATGAAAACGATTGCTACCCACATCAACATCAACAACCAACCCCACAAGATTGTTTATCGGTTGCTTCAATCAAATTAAGACGTAGAATCTTATTGGATTAATATAATCAAATTGACGTATTTTTGGACAAAAGCAGCGAAGTAATTTGAATCAATCGAACCTACCAAACCATTCAAAACCGTAGTGATAGTTTGGACCAACTTTTTGCTATTGTTTGCCTGAAAACCTCGTTTGAAATGCTTATATATGAGGAAAAACACGAGATTGTCTATTTGCTATGTCGGTGTTTTAAAAAGGGTAATTTGTATGAAAAAATAACGTACTTTAATTTGATTCATATTTTGGGTAACATATTCTCAAAACTTCCATTTTGGTACTCAAGATGTAAAGTTTTAAACATTTAAATATCCGGGTAACTGGTTGAAGCATTAACCGGTTATCATGCTAATTGCGGTTAAGGTAACGACTTCGGGCATGACCAACTCCCATAGTGTGACGGGCAGTGTGTACAAGGCCCGGGAACGGATTCACCGCAGTATGGCTGACCGACGATTACTAGCGATTCCGGCTTTATGCAGGCGAGTTGCAGCCTCTAATCCGAACTGAGGACGGGTTTTTGGAGTTTACCCTCGTGGGATCGTAACCCTTTGTACCAGCCATTATAGCACATGTGTCTCCCAGGGCATGATGACTTGATGCCATCCTCACCTTCCTCCGACTTATCATCGGCAGTCTGTTCAGGGTTCGAAACTCAATGAAGGCAACTAAACATGAAGGTTGCGCTTGTTGCGGGACTTAATATGTTAAAAACATTTGTTTTATTATAATCAATTAATAAAAAAGGTATTTTAATTATTTTTATAACTATTTATAAAAAATAAATTTAATTTAACATAATCTATTGTAATGACATTGACGTGGATATAAAAAGTGTATGTTTTAAAAGATTACTAATTCACCAATCCCATTCCAATAAATTTAATTTAACGTAATCTATTGTAATGACATTGACGGGAACATTTGACAGTTGCTGAATGGTTTGGTATAGAATGATCATGAGACGTTCATGATATAATGCAAAATAAAATATAATTGTTTGGTAATTGTTTACAATGAAATTAGGGTATTGAATGGTTAAGGGAGATCCGAGATACAAAATCATTCAGAGAGTTTTAGAATCATTAAGAGACAGACTTCTTTTTACCAAACAAATTTCACCTCTTAATGATCCAAATACTGTCTGTTAATGGAACTATTAAGAGGTAAACAAACTACTCCGTAGTTAGATATCATAATTTTAATGGATGATTCAATGGAATAGTTTACTTGACAAATTGTAGGTGGATTAACTTGTCTGCGTATACTCATATAATATGAATATAATGTCATAATACACGTGTACACATCATATCTACACACGCGAATTGAAAACAAAACATGTGCAACTATGGAAGCTTGTATATCTATTTCTTATACGTCTTTAATTTCTGTCCAAAAATCGAATTCTATCCTCAGATACATCATTGTTGACAATACAATTGTCGTAATACAAGACAGGTCATAGGTTCGATCCCAGGCCCCCGCAAGCCCAAGAAATCCCCACACATTGGTGTTTTTCCAAGGCGGGTCTGTGTAGCACCGATGAAGTTGTTGGTAATCAACTTTTTGCCCAAATACAAATGCCGTAATAGGGTTGAGAGGAAGGCAATCGTCCTTTCCCATTGAAATTAGTCTTGACAATGATTTGGCACTTTGATCACAACCAACTTTCAACCGTGGTTATGACGTTTGATGATCAAGACTCCATTTCCTTACCAATGTTGAACCCCAAAGTAGAGGCTAGACCTCAGGGTGTATGGGTCATGGTTCGAGTCTTCTCAGGGCTACAGGATTTCCTGGTTATTATCTTCATGAGATTTGTCGAGACGTGCAAAAGCTGATCCAGACACCCACAGTTAAGAAATTACCCCCCCCCCCCCCCCCCCCCGATTTTGATGGGACAAAAATGTGTTTTTATCTCACTCAGTTCCCTCCTTTCCCGGTGTTGCCCTAAACGTGGGACAAGAAGTTTTTGTTAAGTTCTGTTATGTTCGACGTAGCAAACGCACGCTAAGTGGTATAATGATCGTGCCAAGCAGCAAAAGCATGAAAAAGAAGCTAAGCATGTGAAATTTCAGAAATACGAAAGGATAATCCACAGAAAATAAGACTAATACAACAACAGTTTTGATCCAAATATGTAGCCACATAATTTTTGGGAATAAAGCAAAACCTCTAAAACTAAATGTTCATACAACGTATGGTTTTCATAAAAAGCATGCAAACCCAATTCAAAACTTGCATTCTACAATCCGATGAAACTATATGAAATAACAAAAGGGACCAAAGTGGAGTAGTTGAATTACCTCCATGGCAAAACGGTGACATCTCTTCAAGTTATGTCCCCTACAAGCGATCGTGTTTCTGTCAATAAGCGGCTTATTTTCCAGGCTCTCTGATTTGAATGGATGTTCTTGATAGGCTTGCTTCAAGTTCATTCAACTCGTCCAAGTCTAAATCATCATCATCGTCATCATCCATCTCAGAATTCCCTTCTTCAGAAACAGCAACAATGCTTGTTGATGTACTCGGTCCACTTGTAGATGAACTTTCTTGTGCCTGAAATCAATTGGAAGAAAAAATTAAGCATGTGTGGTAAGTTCAAACTAATATTTGTTCGACTCCTATGTTACCTCTACAAGTGAACATCTCTAGGATTACGTACGTGTTCATGTCCATTACTTGAGACCCCTAAAATTCTTTCTAGCTTGCATTCATTTTTTGTTTCAACACATTCACACTAGAATCTGACCCGACATGAAGCAATTTTTACCAAAAAGAACATCATGTTATTTGGTTCCAAACCATATCTCCTAGAGAATGGAACAAGGTTTGAACTGCAAGCGTAACTAACTACTAGCTCTATTCAAGTACCCAAGGATCTGACCTAGCCATGTATTCAAATATGTATATTATTGGGGATACGATTTGATCTCTGTTATGCATCAGAATGAAGCTGCAAGGAATAATGAGATGGAAAGGTGGAACATTAGATGGAAATCTGCTAAGAGCCAGCGAGTTGGGCATACCCCAGCGTAATTGCAGAGTTAGGTATTGATAAGAGTCGATAAAAGGTTCCCAATATTAGAGTATTAAAACCCTACAGCTTTTGAGAGGCTGCAGTCTCTCCCTATTCAATTGTAGAGAATTGAATTATAATTAATTGATCTATATTCCAAAAAGGTAAACAATTAAGGTATTTAAACTAATAAGTAAAAGACTCCTAGAATAACACGGATCCTAAAGAAAAACAAATAAAACAATTAAGATAAACATAAGATAGTTTTATGTAAACTTGAGGACTTATGACTTATCCAATACTTGCCTTATCTTTATCCTATTAATCTGCCCTCCTCTGTTTCCTTCTTGAATATGTCTTTATACTCTGAAGTCTATTAATACCCCCTCCCCAAGACTTGCATCTTGTCCTCAAGATGAAAAGAAGAAAATTGCATCTCCAACACTTCACAATCTTCCTAGGAGGCTTCACTTCAAACACAGGTAAATTCTTCCATTCGATTAATGCCTCTTGTCTTCCATCTTGTGTTGTTCGTACTTGTAGGATATCTTCCGGTTCTACTATCATTTCCATATCGTCATTTAATTGATTCGTCAATATGGTTGACGAGGCACACTGTCCGATTGCTCTCCTCAATTTAGAAACATGAAACACTGGATGGAGTCGTGTAGATGCTGACAATTCCAAGCGATAAGCCACCCTTCTCACCTTGCCTCCACTTTAAATGGTCCAACTTTTCTTTGACCAATTCTTCGATCTCATCCTTCTAGTATTGCGGGTAACGATAAGATCAGACATTGACCGGTTCTACTCCTTGCTTAAGCACAATCCCATGTTTTCTTCTTCTTTTTGGTGCAACACGTCTGGCATACAAAAAACAACCTCATACTCCTTTATTAATTTCTCTATGTTGTCCGATAACGTTTTGCTACCCTTGTTCTCGGCTTCCACATTTCCTAATTCAATTAGCACCCCTTGTCCTTCATTCCTCAGTGTCTTCATCATCGATTTTAATGATACTAGGGATCTGCCAAGAGCTGGATTTCCTTTTAAGGTTAGGGTTTCCCTCCCTTTTTGAATCTCATAACCTGGTTTTGCCAATTCACCCATGTTGGTCCCTGTGAGGCCAACCATTTAACGCCTAATATTACATCCGAGTTCCCCAAATTAATGGGCAAAAATTCTTCCACAACTTCAATTCCTTGCATGCTTAGCTTCACCCCTTGACATACTCCCCATCCCTTCATGGCTTCTCCCGCTCCCATTGAGATGTCATATTCTTATGTAATTCTTGTATATAACCCGAGTTTCTCAACTAATATAGTGGCCACAAAATTGTGGGAAGCCCCACTGTCAATTAAAACAACTACCTTTTGGCCTTCTACCTCGCCTTCTACCTCATGGTCTTCGTTGTTGACAGTCCCACTGTTGAATTCAATGATACTTCCACTTCTCCCGTTTCTATCCCCGCCAATTATGTCATCTCCCCCATTTCCGCGTCTTCATCAACGTTGTACTCTTCCGCCTCTTGAACCACCAACACGCTAAGCTCCTTTGTGCATCCGTGACCCGGAGAATACTTCTCATCACACCTGTAACGTAAACCTTGAGCCCTACGTTGTTGAAGTTCTTGATCGGACAACCTTCTGAATTCCCCAACAGATTTTCCTCTCTATCCACTACTTTTGTTGGAGGGTTCAACAAATCCCTTGTATCCCACAGATACTTCTCCATTACGCTTGTTCAATCAGCTACCTTTTGGGTTATTTATTCTTGCTAAAATCTTGTTTTTTTCTTCTATCCACTGAGCTAGTTCCATGGCCTTTCCCAATCCCACCGGTGCGAGGGTGCAGATTTCTGCCCTGATTTGTGGACTCAACCCGTTTAAGAATTGACTAACGAAAACTTCATCCGGAATCCCTACTAACGGGGCTGCCAACATAACAAACCTTCTTTTGTATTCTGCCATCGTGCCGTCTTGCTTAACGGCCAAGAACTACTCACATAAAAATCCCTCCCTCGCTGGTCTAAAGTGATGAAGCAGTGATGTTTTTAATTCTTCCCATAGCCTAATGGGTCTCCTCTTATTCTCCCACTGGAACCACAGCAAGGCGTCACCCTCAAAAGCAATGACCGAGAGTTTAGTTTTTCTTCATTGGTTAGTTTATATAGAGCGAAATACCTTTCAGCCCTCAATATCCAACCGTCTGGGTATGTCCTTTCGAACACAGGTAACTCTAATTTCCTCCCCCTTATCGCAAGAAACCGACCAGTATTATAGTTTTTGTCTACACGATAGTCCACCTTTTTGGGTTGTCCATTGTCTTCGCTTTCATCCTCTCCCGCACTCTTCTCTGCTCTTCTAAGCGCTTCTTCTTGCAATATCAACATTGTTTCCATTTGTTTGATCACTTTCTGCATGTCGTCCTTCAGCGAGTTCACCTCCGCTTGGACCGTTCCCAAGCTTCCCTCCACCTCGTCCATCCTCGATGTTGTTGATCGAGTCATTATCGTGTGAATAGTAATCGTTAACATGATCGTGAACAGTGATCGTGAATAGTGATTCGTGAACAGTGAACAATGATCGTGAACAGTAATTCGTGAATAGTAACACGATTACTAATCCAAAACAACGGCGGTAGGCTCTGATACCAATTTGATAAGAGTCGATAAAAGGTTGCCAAAATTAGAGTATTAAAACCCTACAGCTTTCGAGAGGCTACAGTCTCTCCCTATTCAATTGTAGAGAATTGAATTATAATTAATCGATCTATATTCCAAAAAGGTAAACAATGAAGATATTTAAACTAATAAGTAAAAGACTCCTAGAATAACACAGATCCTAAAGAAAAACAAATAAAACAATTAAGATGAACATAAGATAGTTATATGTACACTTGAGGACTTATGATTTATCCAAGACTTGCTTCATCTTTATCCTAGACTTGCTTTATCTTTATCCTATTAATCTGCCCTCCTCTCTTTCCTACTTGAATATGTCTTTATACTCTAAAGTCTATCAGGTATATTCTTGAAAGGGTGAGATGTCAATAAATGTAGCAACTCTGGAATTTAGCAACCCAGAGATGTTCCAATCTTTTTGGAGGTTTTGTTACACATACATTAAGCTCAGAAAAGAGCTAAACCCAAACAATATATTAACAATCTGAACCTATACCTAAACCTAAACAATTTAATAACTTGAAACTAATTTACACAAAAAACAACAGCCTTTAAATAAATCGCAAACAATTCGATGACAATTAACCAGAGAAATTCGAAGACCGTAACATAAAAGAAATTCAATTGACTTGCTCTATTTGTGGACCTCGAACACAACTACCAGAATTACAATAGAAGAGACAAAAGATATATATTCTAATGAAAATATGAAATTGTTGAGTATCCGGAACCAAGGTACAAGTATGCAATATTGTTTTTAGGCCTTTGGCGAGTCCAATCGCCTAATCAGGAACACAGAATGATTGAAAATGGGACAACAAAATTGGGCCCCAAAATTTTGATGAAAGACCCTAAACACATAAAAAAATTTGGGCCTTGTTCTACATCACACACTTAACATGCTAAGGAATGGCCTTGTAGCAACCATATATATAATGTGACGAGAAGATTAAGACAATATATTTCCAATTTTCCCTTCTTCCTCCTCTCTTCCCCTCCTGCTTTCTCCCCTCCTTATGAAATTTTCAGTGTGAATGTATGATATCTAACGCATACATATAAGGTTACATCCACTCTCAAAACATAAATAAAACCGTTATTTCATCTAAAAATTGTATATATCAAATGGGAGAATCAACAATTACCTTCTGGGTGCTATTATCAGGCTCTTCTTCTCTGTGATACTTCTCATACGCCTCAGCATCGTCCACAAACAAACTAGCATCAGCAAGAAACAACTCGCGACCACTGCACAACCATGTAAGGAAAAAATAATAATCAAGAAACGATCGATTGACAATGCCAACATCGGGTAGCAAAAACAAACAAACCTCATCCGATCATTCTTAGCCCTGTCTGCTCTCTGAGCAGCCAAGCCAGCTTCTTTTTCATCCACCTTCTTCTGCTTCCAATCCATGAAGAGATCGGTAGTCATCGGAGTTGTCGTTTTCACTTTTGCACGCTGAGGGAATAAGATAACAGCCAATTTATTCCACGAAACAAAGAAAAAGCGGACACTAGGAGTATAAATTATCCCAATGACATACAGAAGAACAACTACTTTGGTGAACAAGATAATCACCTGATCCTCAATCTCATCCTCAATAGCTAGCTTGTTAGCTTCTTCTTCTAAAAGTGCCTTCATTTGGGACTTCAAGATGTATCCCGGAGGGAGAGCATGTCTGTAATGACACTCTTTATTACCATTGGGACAAACCCAGAACCAACCGTATTGCTTTTTCTCCACTGCATCAAGGAAGTGTTTGCAAACCTATTAAAAAATCCACAATCAATTGAAAAGTTGCTAAAGCCACTGCCAAAAGAACCCAAAAATGTATTTTAAATAAAACATAAATTCAATGTCAATATAACTGTTGAAAAAAATAATGAAGAAAAGGTGAAAGAACTCCCAGGCAATAATCATCAGAGCCAAAACAAGTTACACTTATATGTACCAACTTATATATGCAAATTTTCAGCTATGCCAGCACTTGATTAAGGGGAAAAGTTTGGAGCTTCGCAAAGCTTCCTGACCATGGTTCACAATAACATTTTCTGAAGATATACCCCATCCATCACTAGGTAGCTACCTTCTTTGAATGTTCATAACTCCAGAAATATTACTCCAATTTCTTTTTATGCATTTGAATGAAAACTAAGTAATATCAAGATCATGAAGATGGTTGAACTAACCCAAATGAGAGATTGCTAAATAGCTTGTTTGGGAGAGAGGTTATGCTAGAATAAGCAAATCAATAGGTTATATTAGGGAAGATCAAACCACTTTCTCGCAATAGATAATCTGATTGCTTTCACTGTATGCTTAAAACAGAAATGAATGGAGAATATGGATTCATGATTCCATATAGTACATGCAGTGTTGTATTTCCTATCCCAGTTTCAACTTGACTACAATTTTCGTACACTTAGCATTCATGATTCATCATAACAAAGGTACAACATTGGCACCGGGATAAAGGCAGGAATGCTAAGGCATTCAAACAATTCCACAAAAAAATATTGAGTTAAGGTGGGAACTGATATAAGAAGAGAACATGCCATCAATAGAAATAAGATATCCATATTCACATAGTATTTTGTTTGGCACTTGCACCAATTATGCACATATTCATATTTGCCATGCATAGCAAGAAACAAAAGAGGAAAAAGCTCAAAACCCTTTCTAATTATGCAAACAGAAAAGACTGAGAACTTAGTTGAAAAACAGATAAAGAGATGCAGGGGATGAGGGAGAGAACCATCTTCATAACATAGCATCTTCCTTTGGATAATTGCAACAAATTTTTGGTGAATTTCTAAGTCAGAATCACCCATTTGCCCAATGTCACCATTACTACCTATTGATATTTCTGTAGATCTGAATCCTAGACAGCCTAGTTTGACATCATTCTTCTTCAGGTCTTTTTTCCCCTCCTTCCTGTTAAATTTTTTCCAGAATTCATGGCCAGTGAAGTCCTTGGTGGTCTCTATTACGGAAGCCATTTTAGTCTACAAGTTTCCTTTTTTCATCATTATTGGAGGTGTTCAAGGCATTTGATTAATAGTCCAACAATTTCACAAAACTATGTGTTGTAACAAATGTTGCAATTTTCACGGAGACGGCATGAGAATTCGCTATTTCTCTAAAGCCGACACCTTCCAACAAAAAAATGCAAGTGTTAACGATGTCCTCAAACCAGAAATTTGACACATTCTCATGCGAAAGCATCATAGTAACACCAATGGACCTTCAAAATTGCCATAGCATGCCATTCCACAAACATCATTGCAGATTAAAGTTAATAAAATGAAACAAAACCGAACTATGAGGGTATCTATATATCCATCCGAGGGTGGGGTCTGGGGATGATAGAATTGAGGCAGACCTGACCTCTATCCTAAGGAGTAGAGCGGTTGTTTCTGTAAAGACCCTCGGCCTGTGAAAAGTGTGGGAGAGAAAAAAGGAGGTTTGTCCAAAAAGTATCAAAACTTCTGGAAAAAGGAAAATAATTCAGAAGAGAAGAGCTTGAAGTCAGAAAGGAAGATCCGCCAACATTTGAAAAGAAGAAATAAGACTAGGTCATAGCAAACAGCATCACAGGAACAAGGTGCAGGTACATGAAAACATAGCACTGGAGACTACACAACCCCATCTATCCGCCAGCTCCCTTACTCCCACCTAAGCTAGCTACAGGCCCCCCAATCTACTACCCTAGTTCAGCGTCTTCAAGCATTCCTATCAGTCATGCCACACATCCAACAACAGATTGAAAATGCATATTCCAAACGTGCAGCAGAAACCAAGTGGGAACAATAAAATGCTATAAGCCTATAATAAAGTTAAATCTGTGCATGAAGAAGTAAGCCGAGAGCATCCACCATGAAACAAATCAAAACAAACACATGAATAACAAGTTGGGTTAGAAAAGGTTTAAGAGGTTAAAAAAACATACAATGTCAGTTGGTTTATTCTGGTTGTACTCTTTTCCTTTCGATTCCACAACTTTTTCCAACATCTCTAGATCCCAATCCTCCATCGTTCCTAAGATTCCACATGAAGAAATTAGTAAAATTCCACATCAAATCACAATAGTAGAGAAGCTGCCAACCAAACTGCTTGAAAAACAAACATGTTAATGCATTACCTTCATCATCGCGCTTATCACTGAAAATGTCAATCTTCTCACCCTTCCTTTGTACATTCAAATCATGAGAAAACTTACATTTGAAACCTTTTGCACACTGACCGGCCTTGAAAAACTCGCACAATATAGACTTTGGATCCACCCCTGACCAAGACCACAACTAATAAGATCATAAACCATTTTAGCAAACAAAAAATCAATTTACAAACATGTTCATGACATTTATTCGACTGTTGTCACCCATACAAAAATCCAGACAGGTTAAATGCTCCAATAAAATGGTATCATTATGGAAGAGTTGAAAAAGCAAAAACTTTATGTTAAACCAGTCAACCAGACAAACGACTTAATGTTATACCCGAAATAGTTCTACAAATACATGTATTATTGACCATAGGTTCTAGGTAGCATTGAGATTTTGTAATGACAGGTCATGACAAAGATACAAATTGATGTATCAATGTGCATATATAGCAAGACTTGCCCTGAAGCTAGAACCACTGAACCACAAGAAAAAATCCGAAATTGTTACAAAGTTGAAAGTAGTTAGCAGTCTTTATCTAAAATATACGGACCCAAATTAACTACCGAATTGAAACATAACCCTATTTGACAAACTGTAGACTTATCTTGAAACAGTTGGATATCAAGCAAAATGAAATTTTTTAAAGCGCCATAAAAAGATAATGTTTTTCAAGATAAATCCAGTATAATAAAAACCAATAGAGAATCTACCAGCAGGTACTTTAGGTTGAACAACAGCAATCTTAAACAAATCATTAAGTTCCTTCTCTCTAGCCTTCTCTTCATCCTTCTTTTTCTGTTAAAAAAAGTCCGAATTTAATAAATAAATAAATAACCCTACTGAAATCAAACAGATTACCAAGAAACCGTATAGAAGCAATACTTTAGCAGCGAGTTTGGAAGCATCGGGTTTGGGTTGCACATTCAGCTGAAGTGCGTGTACATATTTCTGGACAGTTTTGCTCTTGTTCTTGTTCTTAAGCCCAAATGTCTTGTCTTCTACCACTTTCTGCTTCTTTGCTACTTCCGCTTTCGATTGTTTTGGAGGCATCCTCCAAAATGGAAACAAATTCAAAGCTTGGTGTTGGTAGTGGATCAAATAGATGATCGATTGATCAAACAATCAACTCCCAGTTGAAAATTTTATGAATCAATTCACCGATTAGGGTTTTATCACTTGCCTACCAACAGAAGTAGAAGTATAACCGGAGTGGAGACGACTGCCGAAAGGGTTGTTTGGTTTTGTTTAGGATTAGATGTGTTTCGATGTCTTGTTAAGTTCCAAACGGTAATAAGATCGACTGTTAGGGGTATAATCGTCATTTTAATTTCCTAATCTCTCTTAAAATCCTATTAAAGTATTCATTTTTAAATATTTAATTCATATTTTTTTTAATTGAAATACATGTATAAAATGGAGTTATTTCGTTCAAATCTTAATAAAGAAAGATATTCTACGTTAGAAATTTAGGAGTCGTTTATCTGACGCTCACATGGGTAAATGCTTACCGGCAAAAATCAACACTATCATTTACTTACCTGGTAAGATTTTAATTAACGAAAACGGTATCCTACGCAACAATTTACCTGGTAAACGCTAACCATCCTAAGACTCACCGTCCTCACTTACCGGGTAAGATTCTCGCTTCTTGTCTTCGCTCTTTAACAGTAAGATTCTTGGTTCTTGACATATGCATTCAATAAAGTAATGTGACTTGGTAAGCGCTTACCCGGATAAACGTTTATTAAAAGACCCCTAATGTAGTGAGGTAGATTTTGTCATTCGATATAATTCAATTAATATTGAATATTTAATCCATAATATTTAATTGGATTAAATTGATTTCTTGTTATTGATTATTTAATATATCGGATTAATTTGATCTTTTATCTAAACATTAATCAGTTATTCATATAATCTCCTTAATTTACTAAAAAAACTACCTATAATTATAAACTAAAACATAAAATATGTTGAATATATTATATGATAATTGGATGGGTATTGTATTGGTTCAGTTTTATTATATTATGGATTGTCATCCGCTCGAATTTAAATGTTGAAATTTTGGATTCAATTCGATCCGATTATAGTTGATTGATTTTAATTGGATCTGCTAATTTAAATTAGATTGAATAACTTCCAACAAACCCACAATAATAATAAATATTGTTAATTAACCACAAGGGTGGTGTCTGATTGGTTTGAGCTTGGCTTCAAATATCAAAAGTGTCTGGAGGTTCCATGTTCAAATTCAAGAATGAACAAAAACCCCCTTGTAGCCACGGAGATTGAAATACGGTGACTCTGAGCTACCTGCAAAGCGGATTAGATATTTAGGTTAATAAAAAAATTGTTAATTTTTTTTAATTCTAATAACATATTTTTATAAAAATAATTCCTATCAAATTTATTACTTTATAGAGAAAAAAAAAGTCCTATCAAGTTTATATGGGTTGTGATGTAATTATCTTTCAAATTACATTTTTAGTCTCTATGATTTTATTGAAAATTTTTATTTTCGTCTTTATAGTTTTAAAATTTTATTTTCATTCTTATGATTTATAATTTATTATTATTTTTGTTCTTATATTTTAAAATTTATTGATTTTTCCGTCCTTATGTTTTACAATTCATTTCTATTTTAATAGTTCATACTTAAAACTAGTGTTTTAGATTCAGTGATGAAAATATAAATAAATTGCAAATCATAAGGATGAAAACCAAAATTATGAAACCACGGGGACGGAAACTGCAATTTTTGACAAAGCATAGGGACAATAAACGTAAGGAGGGTTTTCGTATCAAGGGTAGGATTGTCTTTTTAGAATATGATTTGAGTTAGATTTAACGGTAATATTGGATGACAAATTTTCAGTGGCCAAATTGCAAATGGAAGAAGTATAGTGACCTATTTGGAAGATTAGTCCACAATCACCATCGCGAACGCAGAGCCAACAGTTTCTGCAACATTCCCTTCGTTATACCATTCATGAAGTTCGAATACAGGATGAAAATCCGTACGATTTCTAGAGTTGTACAGGGCCGAAACAGATCGCCATCAGTTCAACTTCATAGTTATCGTGTTCTAGCGCAGCTTCATTCAGTACCTAAAAGGCTCGTTAATCGATCTACGATAATTTATTTTTTATCGTTACAATTTATGTAGGTTCGACTCTTGATATGATAATTGAAGTTGATTTGATTGTCACAGACCTTCGTTTGGAATCGCTTTTGATATTGATGGTGTTATACTTCGTGGACGGACTCCAATTGGAGATTCTCCTAAAGCTTTGAGGAGATTATACGATGATTCAGGTAATATTTAATGTCGCATTGCACGCACACATTGTTCCTAGGTGCTTTTGAGGTCTTCGGTGTTTTCAAGGCAATGTGTTATCGACACAAATACCTTTCTTATCCTAATAAGTGTTCACAATCGGGTAAAATTTCATAAAACTAACATCTCTTTCGAAAATTCACATACATCTAAAAGAATTTTTGAGCATTTTTTTTGTTTGTGTTCATGTAACCTGTCAGTATACACGGACATGAATTCCTATAGGATAATTCGTATCAAAAGCTAATAATGACAATGCAAAACCAAGCAACTTGAAAAGTTTATTCTCAACAGGGATTTGGTGAAATTGTTCATAGTTCATCCAAGTTTGTGTATAACCTATATGTACATTTGTAATGTAGCTAATTTGAGAAAGCGGGGATGGGTATATGGTACAAAGGCATATGAGCAACAATAGGGTTGTCAATGGTTGGGCGTCCTCCTTATCCAAAAAATGAGTTCGGCATCTTGGGGTTCGGCATCTTGGGGTTCCTTTCTTGACCTGACTTGCTAAAGCATGACTCTGCTTGACTTCCCAAGCTACCCAAGAGGATCCAGAAACTCGAGTGATTGGGGGCAGACCTGGTATAAAAAATCCAAAGCTGAATAACCCACTCAAACCAAATGAGGTTCGGGTTAAACGGCTCCCGGTAATTCGATTTCCGAGTTAACCGGTTTGGTTAACTGAATATGGACATTTTATTTGATTAAGTTTTTTGGTTATGTTATGAAGGGAAAATATACATCTATTTATGATCCTGTTTTGTGACCCTCCAATTTACAAACATCCCTAAAAGAGGGATCTATTCTAGCCATTTGAGGACTAAAAATAAATGAAAATATGTTTTTCAAGAGGGATATATTCTGGCTTGCCATTTAAAGGAAGTGAAGTGGTAAAGACTTGAAATAAACAAGATGTTCTTTAAAGAGTGAAATAAAACCAAAAGTATTTTACCACATAGTCCATGTTCTGCCTTCTAAATAGGGATCTGTTCCGGCCAATGTTCTTAGTAAAGACAAAAGCAGCATTCCAAATAATTAGAAGTATTTCTTCTCTTGAAACACACACACTTCCACATTTTACTTTTCCTTTTCTCATGAGATGGAGCTGGGTGGGGGGAACACCAGGAGATGGCTGGGGGCAAAGAGAAATATAATGTAAAAAATTAATTTCCCTTATCTCTTGACTTTTTGGTTCCGGGCACTCCCTCCCCCCCCCCCCCCCCCCCCCCAAAGGTGTAAATCCACCCATGTACTGCACACCAAATTAAATGAGCTGGGCATGCAAATATCCCTACGTGCTCATTTTGGCTCATGTATATATGCAACTTATACCATTGGCAAGATAAAAACTTGTATCATGTAATCAAATAACAATAAGATTGAGACTATAGGTTCAGTGGGATTCAACTTGTATTCAAACTTATAATAGAATTAGTGTATTACACTTATGATTGAACTAAGGCAATTCTATTTCTAAATAGTAGATATCTAAATAATTTTACATGTTTGGAAAATCCTACTTGATAAAAAGCTGAAACCTTGCAAATGCAATTCAACTTGACAAAGCTTGTGAGCTATGCAGATGCCTACCTGATTTGAGCACTGTGCCAAGAACTAAACATGTTTATAACCTACTTGTCTATGTTTAAGTGGAAATACAGGGTTCCCTTGTAGCTGTAAAATGTATGAATATGTGGATGTTGCATCCGTTATTCTTTTGTTTCTCTATGGATGTGGTAGTTTTGTCAAACTTTTAGCCAATATAGCATGTTCGCTACGAAAGTGCATTTCAGGTCTTGGTGGTTTGTATACACTCTCTTTTCCAGTTTACCAGGTGATGATCTGAATGATCATGGCTTGCTGATCAATTATTTACGTCACCTGAAATTTGATGTTCTTCTTTATGCCCCTTCTTCTCCTTCTCTTTTGCAGGTAGTCTGAAGATCCCATATCTGTTTTTGACAAATGGTAAGTACATTGGAGGATTTGATCCCTGTATAGTAGAATATTATGTCTACTCATCCTATTCTCGTAGAAATAAGCATGGCACTTTCAGCTCATGCTATAGTCCAATCCTCTATTAATAATTACGATTGTGCTGTCTGTCCAGAGCTCCAAACTAATTACATTCTGAACAGGGTTTGAGCAGACAAAGGCAGTTTATCCTCACAATTTATTTGAAATGTGATGCATATGGATTCAGCATCTATTTTCTAAATTCTCCATCTTCCTCTCCTCTATATTTTCCTTTTATTCCTTTACCTGTCTATAAAATTTAGATGCCTATGTTCCCTGGAGTAAGCCGAGCTGTAGTGTACTGATATTCCTTTGTACTCTCTACATTTTGGATATCATATTGTGTGAATGTGCTTATCATTGATATCCAACATATCCATGCTCACTGTCCTGAATACGAATGATAGAGTCAGATTTACATGATTTGTGTAATTCTCTATTTATCTTAAGCGTTCCTTGTATCTAAAACCTATGTTGTATTTGTGCATTAGCAAGAAATTGAATCCATGATTATGGTACAGTGTGTTACTATATTAATCTATTGCAACAGTTTTGATGTATGAAATAGCAGTGGCATGTGTAAGACACAAGTGCTAAGAAGTTGGCATGTTCTGATTTAACAGGAGGAGGCATCCCTGAATCTAGACGAGCTTCTGAGTTGAGTCAACTCCTTGGAGTAAATATCGACCCTGTTCAGGTATTTCCTAAATGATTGCTATCATGATTAGACTTCATCCATTTTTACATGAATATCACCTGATGCAGGTGGTACAGGGTCACTCACCTTTCAAAAACTTGCTGAATAGGTACCTCCTTTATGCTTTATTTCCTGACCTGCAAGAATTTGAGTTTTGGTACACGTACAAGAGAGCATAGACTGAGAAGTCATTATAAAAATTGCTACTAGTAGTAGCCACTCAAATCCTGCATTAAGTAGTTGTACCATGTGAAAAGATGTCCTTTATAACATACACTTTGGGTGCATTTCTGACTTATAGGCTATTGCCTGCTGCATTGGTGTAAACGTTCTGATAACTTTTGTGGTTGTGTTTTCAAACTTATTTCAGCCACATCAGAATTCAAGTTGAAAGAATGAAACTGCCATTATTCTGTGCTAACAGTGCCAAGTTCTGTAATGTGTATTGTTGGGTTATCAAGCCATTAAAATGTATTGTGGTTTGATGATGTTAGAATAGTGTTTATATCGACTCTCTTGCCTTCAGATTCGAAAATGAATTAGTTGTTGCCACTGGAAAAGGGGAGCCTGCAGTGGTGATGTCCGAATATGGTTTCAAGTAAGTACTAGTTATCTCCATGGAATGTGATATCCTGTACTTATCATTTCAAAAATCTTGATATGCTCTGCCTTCTGCATATTATCGTAGTCTATAAGTTGCAATTACGTGCAGAAAAGCTGTCTCCTTAGATGAGTACGCATCTTACTTCAATAGCATTGATCCTTTATCACCACACAAAACCTGGACCACGAAGCAGCCATGCGATGAGCATATAAAGTTCAGTGAGTCAGTCCCAAGATTCGATGTCACTTCTGAAAGAGTCAAAGCAGCTTTTGTTGTTAGCGATCCTGTTGACTGGGGTAGAGATATTCAGGTACATGCTTTTCTTTTATTTATTTTAATTAAGTTTATTTTCACGTTTCATTGTGTGTTCCTGCTTCCAAGAAAATTATGACTTGACTTTGACTCTGCTCTTGTGCTGTCGTGAAATTGAATTAGCCATGGCATAGAACTTGCCATGCAAAACTTAACCAAATCTGCAGTATATTATTAAGTTCCTTAAATTGTGCAAAAGTTATCTCCATTGTTTTCAATTAGTAACTTAGCATGGCCCTTTTCTCTTTGTTTATTGTAGGTGAATAGGTGATGCATTATATGACATCGATAATAAATCAGCAGGCAGCAATTGTTGATTAGCAATTAAAATGTAAAAAAGAAGTTGTCTTGTTTGGTTGCTTAATAGATTACCAGCCTCTAAGACCAAATGTGCACAACAACATGCATACCAGGACCGTTTTGTTATGTTGTTGTATTAATTTGAGGAGTTCAATTCACATAAGTTAATACCTTGTACCTCTACAGTCTTAATGTCAAATGCGTCATTCCAGAACAAGAAGCAATTGGACCTCAAGTTTCTTATTACTAGACCAACTAATATGAAAAAAATGCTCATAGCTTGTTAATAGAAGTTGAAGTGTGGGAAGGTCGGAGAATAAAGGTGTATAAAACCATAAGCCTTTCTTCTCTTCATCCATTAATATTCGTTAATGTTCACAATGAGATCATTAGTGTTTTTCTTATCTAAATCACTTCAAGTTTATTCTTGATTTGGGTTTTTTGCTCAGTAAATGATAATGATGGACATAATTTTCTAGGTTCTTTGTGACATTTTGAGATCGGGTGGTCTTCCTGGAGAGAGGTCTCAGCATCAACCACATATGTATTTTGCAGCTGATGATCTTGAATATCAGGTCAGTAATAACACTCATTTTTTGTTAATACGTGCTTACCGTTTCTAGTTAGTTTATGTAGTATGCTCAAATTACAAAGTGGGGCAATACATGTGTGTAAATAGTCATTTGGTCAGGCTAAATTTCAAGCAATGCTTAAGAGAGTGCATGTGCTGCTTTGAATGTGCAACATGCTTGAGACCCTACAGTTGTGTTTAACCAGATGTTGAGATGATGTGGTTACGTAACTTTACCCTTTGTCCCATTCATAATGATTAAGCATTTGATTCGTATTCTGAGAACTTTCTTGAAACAGCTCGTTAGACAGTCGATACTTTTAAGATCAATTGATTGCTTTTGATGTCTACTCCTTATGCTACGTACTCGGTCGTTTTTGTTCTTTACTGGAATTCACTGATCATGTTAAAGGTCAGGGCAGGCTGCATTTCCTTCTGAACGTCTTGGCATGGGGGCTTTCAGGATCGCTCTAGAAAGTATCTTCAACAGGTAATGTCAGCAATATTTATGTATATTATCTGCTCACTTGCATCTCACTTGGATCAACATTTACTTGCTTAATTGAGCTTGAAGCTAACATAATCTGTTGAACTCAGTTAAAAACAATACTTGCCTCTTGGTGCCATAATACCAAGAAGTGAGTTATTTATACCAACCATTCCTTTTACGGCTAGATCCAATCTCCTGGAGTATTTTAGTGATGGGTTCTATAGGAACTGGATGATCTTACTTGGTCAAATACCTAGCAAAAAAACCTTCTGTCGGTGCTTGAAACAATTTTGTCTTCCCCATATTACTATATCTCTAGAGTCAATAATTTTGTAACGTACTATGCATTTGTACACTTGTAGAAACGGGATAAAGGATTGATATGTGGTAATTGCCATACACAAAGCAAAATATTGGTTTGAGTTTAATAGACTTACCCAGATTATCAACTACAAAAAAATGCATCAAAGCATTTGTTCTTCTCATTTTTCTTAATTTTGGCAAAGGCACCGACAACTGCATTTCTTGTGACATTTATTTGGCTGTGTTCATGTAGGATTCACCACAGGCCATTGGAATATACCTCATTTGGAAAACCAAATACTTTTGTGTTCGAGAATGCAGAATCCATATTGAAGCAACTTCAATCGCCGGCAAGTGATGATGATCTCAATGAAGATTACAAAGACATGAAATCACACCATTTTGAAACCCTTTATATGATTGGTGACAATCCTTTGGTCGATGTCAAGGGAGCAAGACAGGTCTGGCTTTATTAATTCTAATTTTATCAAATTGAACAAGGTTAATTGGATCAGGCATGCCTGGACATCTTTATAATTATATATAAATTCATTTCCCATTTTATATCTCAGGCAGGACATCCATGGTTTTCCATTTTGACAAGGACAGGTGTTTTTCGAGGAAAAGAGAACCACACAGATTATCCTGCTGACCATGTAAGTCAGAATTTAGATGATTTATGGTTATCTCCCTCGAAATATTATGTACTCCATCTGTTCCCTAAAAAATCCCACTTTGGACTTTCCATATGCACAATTTATAAGAAAATTTTAAAATTCAACACCAATCTTAGTCTACTTTTGTATTTGATTTAAATTTCATTGTAACTGGTATAACTAATTTCTCTCAACCAGGTGAACTTTTCCTTTTTGAAGTTGATAAGTAAACCCATTTGACATCCTACGTCGAAGCATAACTTTTTTTGTTTTATATTCATTTCTTGGATGAACGGAGGGAGCATGATATGTAAGCATACAAAACAATTTTTATGGATTTCTTTGAAAAGAAATACCATTGAAACAATCAACTAATGAAACAAACGAACAAACAAAACAACCTATATTCAAAAGACATCCCAACTCTCCATGATGCTCAATCATTCGGTGTTTGTAACAAGTCTCTAATCTCAACAACATTATTTGTAGACCAATTATGGTCAGGAGGGGGGGATGGGATGATGCCAAATAAGGGTTTATTGATGAATAGAATTAACAAAGTCTCTAGATGATGAATAGAATTAACAAGATTGAAACAAAAAATAAGGCTGAAACAATACCAATATTGGCTTAGGCCGGACAGATACGTGGTTATATCCTTCTTATTTATTTTCTGATATTGTTGAATATTGAGTATACTCATTATGCACAACGTATACACCATATATAAAGAAAGTTCAGGAGGGAATTGCACGTATAGAGATACAAAAAAGAATCGACCTGATCTAAATCATTTTGATGACTTATGAGCAAGATAGGACATTATAGAACTTCCCTTTGCATTAGGACACCATATATTGATAGAATAAACGAGTTCTCTAATCAGTGTACTGGTAGTTAATTGCAAACTAACCACTGTAGTTGCTAAATGTAAGAAAAATTTTAATATACATCAGACTTGATGCTAAATAACTATTTAAAATCACCAAAGGGCCTTTGGCCTAGTGGTATCTGTGCCTTTGGCCTCCCGAGAGGTGAAGGATTTAAACCTCACCTAAGGGAGTAGGGTATTTGAATTCATTTGCCATATATAAATCTTATATACTTAAAAAAGAACTGTTGAAAATTGTCTAAAATTTTCTCATTCTTTAATGTTCTTATTTGGATTTTGGAGTACAATAGTTAAGTGTACAACAAAATTACAAAATTTGATGGTCAAGAAACTTGTTTACTTCATCTTGATTTCGTAGCCAGATGGGACCTATAGGATCTTGCTTGGCATTTAGTTGTCGTAATAAGAACTTTTTTAGGTTGTTAAACCAGAACTAGAATCCTCCTAGATATCATTTGCTTGTTGCTTCTCTTGCTAGCCGGCCCTTCTGAGGACAAATTATTTCTCCAACGAGAAGGAAAAACCCGACCCATGACTTTTGGCTTCCATAACCAGCAATTTGGCCTCTTTTGTCGTCAAAGTACTTTAGGTTTTCAACAGAAGTAAACTTACAGTAACTCGTATAATTAACAACACAATGCACAACTTCTAATGCATAGGACTCAAAAGGGCCCACCAAAACGCGGAGTGGAGGATTTTAGCTGAATACCTGGATCAAGTTTGAAGAAATCGGTGCTTGAAACATGAGCTAATTGATTTTCTTCTTGTTTATGCAGGTTGTTGATACAGTAGAAGAGGCTATGGAATATATCTTGCAAAGGGAGGGTTATGCTTAGCTTAGTGGAAACACATTTTTTCCCTCCATTCTGCCATAATTTTTTGGAAATATTCAAGAAACCAACACCACATCTTAATGACTACAACTGTAAAGTCTTAAAGATTAAGCACACGCAACAGATGAATATGTTGATGTAAAAACTTTGTGGTGCCATAAAGGCTGTTTAGACATCGATGATTTACGAATTAAGAAGCTTTTATTTCAGAACTCGATCATTACGTCTCCTCGGATTAAAGAGATACCGAGAATCATGCATAGAGCGAAACATATCCACCAAAAGAGGAAGCTGCAATGAAGCAAACATGATCACCGGCAGGGCAGCAAATATAGCAATAACGATGGGCACCCACTTCAACCTGTTACGGTATAGCACGAAGAAGCTAGCGCTAAAAGTGACCATCATGGCTGCTACCGAGATGAAAAGTGTCACGACACCTATCATCACCTTTTTGGGTAACGAATACAAGAAGTCACATTGGTTGTAACGAGATGTGAGGACAGATAGAAACACCAAGAGTGAAGTTGAGGAAGAGAACAAAGAATGGCATCTGCTATTACGAAAACTATAAAGGTACGCTCGTGGATGAACACCGGAATCCCGTCCCCTTGGTCGTATCCACCGGGAACCGTAAACGCCACCGCAAACGCTACGGTGACTATAAGTGTTGCCACCACCATGCAATCTTTCATCCACTTCAGACCTTCAGAAATCACATCTTGGTTGTTCTCTGAGAATAACTCATACGGTGTTTGACCACCTTTGTTCTTCCTTTCCCTGTAAGTAGATGGCATCGTCTTTTCTACTTCCTACAACAAAGAAGTTCTAGATGGATATGTTGCTTTGGGTCTAGAAACATTAGAAATAGGGGCATTAAGCACATACGCTGAACCACAGTAACTCTCGTTGCATCAGCAGAGATGCTTCAGACGTCTTATGTCTCATCTTAATAGTTGTCATACCAACTAAATGAAGCATATTGTTGCCATCTGCATCTTCCATTTGCAATATCAGATCCTTCATTGAGCCTATCTCCAACAGTAGGTTGTAGATACCTTGATGACGATGCATAATCGCTATATGAAATATAGTGCGGTTATCGTCATTTACCTTCCACATTAGATCGGGATAGGCTCGAAGCAACTCGACTACAAAACTCGTGTTTCCCATTTCAGCAGCAACAAATAGCATTCTAGAACGATATCGTTTTGTTCCATCGTCTAGGTACGTAGGAGGCCCGTTGAGCATATCAGTAACTTGATCCTTGGCCATTCTTTTGATGATATGTCTCCAGATGAATCTTAGTAATTTTAGTGCATCGGTATCCATCTTTTCAGCAGATCGCAGCTTCGTATGTATAACAACTGAAAGCGACAACCGAGTAAAGAACCCAAGAAGGTAATACTAAAACCGCACAGTTCATAAGACTGAGTAGAGATGTTTACTTGAATTCATGATTTTCCGTATTAAACTCTGTCGTACTCTATTCAATGCGTAAGGCTTTCAAGCCAACACGTCGAGTATAGATGCATCCGTAGCGTGTTCAGGATGATCTATCATGATTTTCATTGCAACATCTACGTACGAACGATACAACAATTGCTTAATAATGGAAGATGATATCACAATGAACACAAAGAAAACTAAGGGGCCGTCTGTTTGCAGAATTCGATGGAATTGGAATGACAAATTCATTTGACCAAATTCCAATTCATTTGTTTGGTTCATCTCTTGAAATGGATGAAATCCTTCAAATTCCATTGAATTCCACAAATTAATGAATTTATCATTCCTTGGTATAATAGAAGGAATTGAATTCCATCACCATCCACCACGACAATGCTATTATCGTTTGTCATGCCCCACCCCCCACCACCCACCACCACCATATGACTACTGTTGCCGTCACCCACCCCTACCCCATCACTATCCACCATGCCACTACCGTTGTCATCACTCCCACCCACCCCCTGATCACTCTTTGCACATCTTTACTACGACCATGCTTGTTAAACCCCTAACCTAACCCCCACCACCACACCATTATTGTCGCTGTTACAACTGCCACTCACCCCCACCCCACCCTATCCTACCCCAACCCACCATTAACCACCATGCCACTACTATCGCCGTCATACCTACCCACTCCCAGCCACCCGTCCACCATCCCATCACTATTGTCGTCACAGCTACCACCCCACCACCCATCCCCACTACCCCACCCCATCCTTAACCTAACCCCCCACTCCCACATCACTGTTGTCTCCTTCACAATTACCTCTCAGCACTGCCCCACTCTACCCCAACCTAACCCACCATTAAAGACCATGCCACTATTGTTGTCGTCATACCCATCCACTCCCAGGCCCCAGCCACCCGACCACTATCCCACCACTATCATCGTCATAGCTACCACCCCGCCACCTACCCCTACCCACCTCAGCGTCCCTCCCCGCCCCCACCTTACCCTACTCCAACTCACCACTAACCACCATCCTACCATTGTAGTCGTCACAGCTACCACCCTGCCACCCTCTACCCCACTCTAGCCCCACCCCCGCGCCTCGACCCCACTGGAGGAGGGGTGGGGCAGGAGTGATGGGGGCGGGGTTGGGGCGGGTGGGGCTGAGTCTGGGTAGGGGTGGGGCGGGGTGATAACTGTAATGACGACAGTAGTGACATTGTGGTTGGTAGGATGTGGGCGGGGCAATGGGTGCAATGGTTCAAACAAAGACTATTGTTCCACTTCTTTTGAGAGATTTCATTCCAATTCCTACCAACCTGACGCTTGGTCAAATTTCATTCCAATTCCTTCAAAGTCAAATTCCTTTGATGGATTCCAATTCTATCAAATTTCATTTTGTGAACCAAACACCCCCTAAAAGGACATAGATGGGATTTGAATGAAGTGATGGAAGGGACATGATGGGATTTGAAGACAGGAGGTTTTTGTTCCAAACCACTTACCAAAGAGATCACACTCGACGCATTTCAAGAGAAGCCAACCTCGAGTTCGACTTGTCAAACCAACATCAATCATCGTTAAAGAAGCATAATAGAGATACTCGACTACGTTATGTCTCCCATATATTGCACCTATATGCAATGGCAGCATTCCTTGACTACCAGCAATGGCAGCCAGGCCTCTATTCTTTTTCATCATGATCTTAACAACTTTAACGTTTCCAGCTGCAGCTGCTAAAAAGAGGGCGGTGTTGGAATTCGAATTCTCAAGTTCCAAATCCTTTCTTTCCATCCTACCCACCAGATGTTCGACAAAAGTTTCCGTCCGCTTGGTCTCATCCACGGACGCTGCAACATGAAGTGCTGTGCAGTAGTCTTCGGAAATAGCAAACCGGACCAACTCATGGCGTTTGTCAAGGATGATCTTCGCAGTTGCCCAATCGCCACTCATTGATGCTTGAAATAGAGGAACACAGATATTGAAGTAATCTTCTCTACTTCCTTCAAAGTAATCACAAAAGCACGTTAGCAGTCGCTTTTTTGTTCTAAAGATATGTAAGATAGAGTTCAGTTGATCAAACTCCCTCTGTGCAAAGTAAGCAAGCGATATTAAGGGCGGTTTACCTAAATGCAAATGTTTACCCGGTAAGTGCTTACCAATAGGATTCAACATTATATTTTATTTTGATACTTAAGATTTTAATACATAAAAAACATATCGAATGCAACAAGTTACTGGGTAAGAGTCGCCATCCTTACTTAACGGGTAAGACTCTCTATCCTTTTCATTGCTCTTACCCAGTAAGGGGTTGTTTATTTATCTCTTAATAGTTTCATTAAGAGGTGAATCTTGTTTGGTAAAAAAAATATGTCTCTAAATGGTTCTAAAACCCTCTGAATGATTTTGTATCATGGGTCTCCCTTCACCGTTCAGCTCCATAATTTCATTGTAAACAATTACCTAACAATTATATTTCATTTTTCATTATATCATGAGAGGCTTTTAATCATTCTGTACCAAATCATTCAGCAACTGCCAAACAACCCCTAAAGATTCCTGGCCCTTCTCATGATCATCCGATAAGGAAATTTATCCGATAAGCACTTATCAAGTAAGTATTTAGTAAACGGCCCCTTAATTGAACTAGACAGATTAATTAGAAGCATGTGTGTGTTATAGAAAAAACATACCATTAAGTAGATCAGTACGAGGTAGATTTGGTTCCGGCAGCTGAACGTACGAAGTGGTTGTTGGATTCATCTCAGCTGCTATTTACTATTCACTGTTTACCAGCCTGCACAATGACACCACATATCATTAAACTGGAGTGAACAACCATGGAGAGAGTAGTAATCAGTGGCGGATTCAAGAAATTAATGAGGTGGGAGCACGTTAGATGGGACTTGGGGGAGACAAACATATGACCATATGGGACTGGGGGAAACCATGTAAGACAAGGGTAAAAATAAAAAATTTAAGCTAGTCAACAAACGTTTTTTATTTTTGACTGAGAGACTTTCCCCCGGTCCTTAAGCGCTAGATCCGCCCCTGGTAGTAATTGGTGCATCTGAAAATACCTCTGGAATATAATTTAACCCCTGATGAGTTTCTTTCTTAATTTGGGTATATTTTGAAGCAGAATTTATGATCAAGTCAACATCAAGATGCTAAGATAAAATTGCATAATGCATGAGTTGCGAACAGCTATGTGTAAGTGGCCCATCAGACAAAAACAAATTTAGAAATTAAATATTTAAAATTTAATAAAATAAGGCGACGGTCGAGATCAAGGGGAGTAGAAAGTGTGACGTTTGAAGGGCCAACAAGGAGGGAAAAACCGATCACATAAGATATATTGTGTTTATTTGGTTTGGTTTGGTAACGAATAAACTAAGGGGGTTTCTATTAAGTCCCCTTTTGGGTACATGATTAGAAATTAAACACAAATTGCTCGATAAACTAAGTCAAAAGTTTGATTGATGAGGTTATCGTTGAATAAAATAATGAAAAAATTGCATTAAAATGAAATCAACTTTCACCTGATTACTATTTTAAGGAACCAAGTTTCAGAGTTATCATTTTAAGGTCTTAATAAACTTTTTATATATTTAAGGGTCTCGATGACCCATTAACATGCCATCTGGAAGCTGGCACGTCATATTTACAATTAAAAATAATTGATCTAAAATAATTAATGGAATCAACAATCACCATTTTCTCCGTTGACAATGGTTTCCCTGCCTTTTGTTCACCTTCTCCGGCACCCACATTGTTTATCTTCGCTGGCCATTACATCCATATGTTCACCTTCCTCTTTAAAGCCCAAACCAAATTTTCTGCAACTACCACTACTAGAAAAATGGGTATTTGCGGCAGAAAAATTCGTCGAAAATCTAGCGGCGGATTTCCAGCGGACAACTAAAAAAGTCAACTTCCGGTGACTTCCGTCCGAAATCAGCCTGTAAATATATTTTAACACTATTTCTAGCGGATTGTACAAATTAAAAAATTAATTAAATATATTGTTAAATCAATTACCATAATTTTATCATCTAAGAAACAAAAATAGGTTTAACTTTTATGAACTTCCGTAAATATTTTTAAAGTCCTTGTATTTGCTTTTTAATAACTAAATCTATTGAATAATGATAATAGTAACATATAAATAATTAATATGATTAATAATAATTCTAAATAACTAATAACTGATATTGATAAAATAATCTACAATTAAAATTAATTAATAATTTTAAATTAATACTAATTAATATTTATTAATAAAATTCTTGTGTTATTTTTTTTTTTGACGACTCGATATATTGAATAATAGTAATGTAAAAATATTGATAAATTTAATAATAATTCTAAATAACNTTATTATTAATAGTAACAAATAACAATTAATATTAATTAAGATTATAATTGAAAAAATGACAAATAAGCTTCTAAAATAGCATTTCAATAAACTAATTTATATTCATCCAAACGCATATTCAAAAAATAAACTAGTTTATATTTCCCTAGCAATGCTTTATCGTTATTTGTAAGTTTTAAGGTTTTTCTAAAAACCACTCCCTGCCTCACAGATAACGTAAATATATGTCATTATCCAGCACAACCACCACCATCATCATTCATCACAACTAAACCATCATCACCTATCACCACCATTAACAAATGTAAAAACCTTAAATCAAACAAAAATAACTGGTTTTGGTTGAAGGAAGGGGGGCGACAGCGATTTCCATAGGGGGCGGGGGCTACGGTGGCGCAGGGATAAGGGATGCGACAACGTGTGAGCTTGGAGGCAAACATTTAAACGCCACGTTAAATTTTGCACACAGTTTATAAATATCTTTTACAAGTCTTTCTTTCACAACTGATTTTCTAAATCCTTGAGGTTTTCCATATCAACAACCTGCAAAGCAAAGGTTTTCATGCAGGTTCGAACACCAAAATCTTTGAACCTTTCTTTCGAGCTTACCAAAGAAGATGGCGAAACCATCTCGATATACAAAAGTACCCACAAAATAAAGTCGCATGTCCATGAACTTGAGCCTAAAGTTAGAGAGAGAGAGAGAGAGAGAATCCACATCAAATTTAAACCACTAAACTAACAAGTCTTTTGAGTTGGCATTTTATCTTACACATTTAGAGATGCTTGGAAAGAATCGACTCGACGACACTTTGAGCGATCGGATGGTAAGTTTCTCGAGCTTCTGAGAAAACCCTTTGTGCAAATATTTTCTCTTCTTCTTTGCTTGCATTCCCCTGAACAAGTGCTGTGTATAACGGGCGAAGGTATTTCATTCGCCCCACTTCCTTCAAGGTTTTCTCCACAACGTTATAGTATTCACTGCATCTTGAAGCAATCGCTAGTTGCAGGAATGCTACTTTCACCTCGTAGTCTTTTGATTCGGATAGCCTGTATCGGCAATCCAGGGCTGTAACCTGTATCATATCATCAAGATTTTGCCATCAAAGGACCAGACTAAAAAGGTTCCAGTTAAATTAGTCAAACTACTAAGGCTATGTTTGCCAATTTGTTGGTTAATAAGCTAGTTGTTCGTTGATAAATTAGTCATCTTTGGTAAAAAAAGCTCGTTGATAAACATAAGCTAGATGATAATGTAAAATGACCTAAAATGGTATGTTAGATATTAATTGGAAAAATACAGGGGGATAACCGGAAGAGAAAAATTTGGAAAAAAGCCTATGAAGCTTATTGAAGTAGTGTTTCAAAAAAGCTAGCTATTAACGAATCAAGTGTGGCTTTTTCAATAAGCTCAAAAAATAAGCTAGTTTATGGTTGCCAAACAAGGCCTAAATTCACATATCTTTGCTCTACAAAATAGGGTTACAGATGGTACAATGAGGTCAAATGGACTAACTTTCAACTTTGAAATTGATCTGGGATTCAGCAAATTCATGCCAAAACTCGGAAACACTACAGGAGTCCGAAAACAAATAAATGCAGCATTTTTTTTTTGGCTATGTTTTAATCCCGATTATGATCTTACTCATCAGTGATGATTACAAAAGATTATTACCCTACACGATTCAGCAATTATTAAGAGGTTTAGCAATGTCTTAAAACCTAAAATGTTTATGTTTAAAAAAACACTTTTTAACAGTAATCAGAAATCATTTCACCAAAAAAATACCAAATGCCAGCATAGTAATCAAAAATCGTTTTAATTTGCATTTTTTAAACCCGGCCCAGTTTTCTTTACCAGTTGGAGATTCAACCAGCCGAATTGTGTAAACAGTTTTAAACACTATACTTTTGATGTATGATCAATATCAGACAATTTCATTGGAATCTACCTCTAGTTGAGCATTGTGCTTATTTTCAAACAGAGAAACTATATTAAATTTAATAACCAGCCGAAATAGAGAGATAACAAAGGTAAATCTATCATATGAGGGTAGACATAAATAAGTACGCGGAAAGGAGCGTACCTGTGAAGCTTCAACAGATTTTGGAAGATTTTCTAAATAAAGCTCCCATTCCTGCCCATGCCAGTTAGCAACTTCTTCCTCACTTGGCATCCTACCTTGTTTAAACTCGTTTGCTAGTGAAACTATCTTTGTATAGATGTTAGAAACTGGCTCCATGGCATCAGGAGGGATGCCAGTACCCTCAGTCCATGTTTTTAAATCAATCTCCTTCTCTATTCCAGGAACATTTGTTTCCAAGAAATCAAGAAACATACATGTATCAATGGATTGGAACTTAAATGCAGCAATGTATTTCTTAAGGAACTCGTCAAAGGCTGGCCTCCCAATCTGAGTATCACATACAAAGCATAAGCAAATACAAAAATCAAAATAATAAACATATGAAAAGTGATAATAACAGAAGATGAAATAATATGAGTACCTGACGCTCGATACGCCACAGAAATTGAAAACCTTTCTCATATGGAACTTGAGAATAAACATCATCAGGATCCACCCCTTCTTGATTAGTTAGGAGTTTTGTGAACTCCATGTTATCTTTGAACCTCTCCATTTCATCAACCAAACCCTTCCAACCAATTCCAATATTTAATGCAGCTATGTCCTCCCCTTGTACAGCCTCAACTATTCTTCTTTCTGCATAAGTTGTAAATCCCTACGAGAAGAAAACCCAAATAATATGAAGATGTACATAGCCTTTTCATCCCAGAAGCATTATTTAAAATGAAATGGAACTTATGTTCATGTTAGCTTTTACATAGTGGGGCAGTGGGCACACGAAGGAAGCTGTCCCTTTCTCTATATACAAGCCTAGATCGCCCTTGCACAAAGTCCCGATAGTCTTCAATTAGGCTTCTCAAGCCTGGCTTGCACAGATTCATAGATAACCCTACTTCGCACACTCCAATACTAGGTCATTTTGTTGGGAACCAGTCTACTGAATTTTCGAAGAAGAGGGTTGCCTATACCTTCACATGATTCAATGTTCTTCATTTCGTAAAGCTTTGTCGACATATATATTATACATAAGAATTATAACATCAATCTTTAGGGTGTATTTTTGTAATATCAATCTTGTCACAACTTATGACTTATTTTGTAGTTTTCCACCACCGATTTCATGGTCAATTTATCCAATAATTTATCACCAAGTTCATCAAATATACATCATGATCCTCTAAAAAAACTGCTGACCAAGAAAAGGATGTGGAGCTATTATGGGCAGCATGATTAGGACTTAAACAGGGCATTGCCAATCTGCTTTTCGGATAAATGCAAGTGTGGCTCAGTCATGTGGTTAATTAAAACTATGTGCTTGTTATAATATCATGTAATGGTCAAATGTTCATTCTGAAATCCATGATCATGCCTTCCTTTAGATTTTTTTCTCCTCGAGGTCATAATGAGTTTGCTTCTTTTATAAAGCAATTCCTCAAACGTATCAACCGGATCACTAAGTCATAACTCTGCCACTTTCAAAGGGTTTCAATTCTCTTTACAAAGTCCAACAAGTTTCCATTGATCTTCAGTAAACACAAAGCACGTATTAAACTAAATTTTCAACATTGGTTTTCAGATGTTTAACAAATGTAACAAATCAAAAGATTTATGCTTGCCAATTGATAGTTATAGTGTCAACTAATAGAAGTGATCAAAGTTACCTCATTCAACCAGAAGTGATCATTAGTTTTGTTAGTGATCAAATTCCCAGTCCAGCTATGAGCAAGCTCGTGTGCTACAACCTGAGCCCCACTAGCATCTCCCTTGATCACCGTAGGAGTCAAAAACACCATCCTCGGATTCTCCATCCCACCATAAGGAAAACTAGGAGGTAAAACCAACAAATCAAACCTCTCCCAATCATAATTCCCAAACAATTTCTCTCCAACCCTAATCATATCTTCAGTACCCGCAAACTCCTTCGCCGCAGCATCAAGAACAGCAGGCACAGACTCTGCAAAAACCTTAGTTCTTGGACCCACTTCCCTATTCCCAATTTCTCCAACAGCAAAGGCAAACAAGTAAGGTGGAATCGGCTGTTCCATTGTAAACTCCTCAACCACTCTCCCTTCAGCACACCACAAGGACTCATCACAAGCCAAATCTGCATCACCCCCAGCCAACGGGGCCCTCCTTTCAACATGTCTCGCGCTCATAACAGCCGATAATTGATGTGGAATGTTCAGCTTGGCACTGTATCGAACACGTGATGTGGGTGTGTCCTGACACGGGAAAATCGACCTGGCATGAATAGATTGGCACTGAGTATACACAAAAGGGAACTTCTTGTTGAACGTCTGAGGAGGGGTTAACCATTGAAGGGCTGAACTCGAAGGAGATGTAACAAAAGTGATCAAGATTTTCGAATTGTTAGTGAGAGAAACAGTTAACGGTTGACCCTTGATGGGGTCGACGTCGGAAGAAAGACAAAACGGGAGTTGGGTATTGTTGGTTGGGTCGATAACCGAGGTTATGGTGAGAGAACGAGTGTCAAGGAGGAGATCGCCGGTATGAGGAGCGCATAGAGTGAGCAATGCGGAGGAAATGATGGTGGAGGTGGAGAAATCGAAGTAGAGGGAGAGAGCGACGTGGTTTGTTAGTGGGTGTGTTGAATCGGTGAAGGAGTGTGGATCAATTGGTGCCATTGTTGAAGCTCTAGGGTTTGAGGTGGTGGTGCAGATTGATGAAGGAAGTGCTGAAAGAGGAGAGAATCGCTCGATTTTGGGTATTTGATTCGCGAGTGTTAACTGCAGCAATCCTTCCTTCAAAATATAATGAATAAGCGTGGAATTTGATTCCCTGTTTTATCAACAAAAATATTGTTTTTTTAACAATAAATTATAAATTAAATTTTAATCTTTATATTAAAAAGTCATAAAGTATTAAACGTAATTGTATATAAAATAGGTATATATTCTCATAGTCCTCTTTGCATAAATTAATGCAAATTATTATCACAACTAAAAAACAATCTAACGGGTCGTTTATCAAACGATTATTTGGGTAAGTGAATACCAAGTCATTTTACTTTACCGGATGGATATTAAAGTAAGGATCAAAAATCTTACCCGGCAAAAGCAAGACAATCACCAAGAGTCTTACCCGGTAAGTGAGGGCGACGACTCTTATCATGGTAAGCGCTTACCGGGTAAATTGTTGCATACGATACCGTTTTGATGAACTAAAATCTTATCAGGTAAGTAAATGATAGTGTTAAGTTTACCGGTAAGCACTTACTGGTAAGTGTTTGATAAACGACCCCTAAGATTATGACTTATGAACAAAATTTCGATTTCTTTTAATCTTAATCCAAGATTTGTACTTTGAAATAATAGGGGCTGTTTGTGATTGTTTATTTAAAATAACTTGTGTTTTTTTTTTAAATGTTTATCAACTTATATGGTATTAAATTGGAGTTTTATAAAAGATGTTTGGATTGGTTTATGGTGGTGCCATAACGTAATAAGTTGGTAATAACGTGTTTGGATTAACTTATATATATATATATATATATATATATAAACTCCTTATTACCGGTACCATAATAAGTTAATAAGTTAGAAGGGGGTAACTTATCAAAATTCCTTATTACCGGTGTCAATGGTAAGTTACATTTGAATGACATAAAATAGTTTATTTTAAAATTAGTAATTTTAAGACTTCCGTTACAACATGTCAGCATTTATGTTTTCATTTATTATAGTTCTTATGCCAGCAATGAACGCGTATTTAGAATCTAAAATGTTACTTTTGGAACATACGAGTACAATTAATTTTGTTTCACCTAAAATTCGCCCAATTTGCCTCTGACTTAATCACCCGTCTGACATGAAAAATATCACAATATTAAGATAAATCAAGATGTAGACAATCAATTTTAAAGTTACGAACCACAACGGTGGTGGCTGACAAGTTTAAGCTTGAGCTACAAAGATCAAAAGTGTCTGGAAATCTCAGATTCAAATTCAATGAGAAATAAAAATCCCCTTGTGGCCATGAAAGTTCAAATGCGGTGACTCCGAACTACCATCAAAGCAGATAGTCGTCATGGGATTAGTCGACTCGCATAAAAGGTTAGATATTCAGGTTAAAACAAAAGCAAACCATAAATCTAAAAACCTAAACTTAAGGGCCGTTTACTAAACACTTACGCGGTAAGTACTTACCGGATAAATTTTCTCATCGGATGAACATGAGATGGGCCAAGAATCTTACCGGGTAAGAGCGACGAGAATGATGGAGAGTCTTACCCGGTAAGTGAGTATGACGACTCTTACCCATGTAAGCGCTTCCCCAGTAAATTATTGCATTCAATATGTTTTGATGTACTAAAATCTTACGCATCAAAATAAATCATAGTGTTGACTCTTATCGGTAAGCACTTACCGGATAAGCAATTGGATAAACGTCCCCTTAGAATCTCATATCTTAATTTAAGGTGGGAAATCTTATTTTCTTGTTTTATAGAATCTCTTGACACGTGTTTTTTTTTCTTTTTATTATGTCAGTTTTATAACAGATTAAAAAAATTACACTAAAAACTTGTCTTTTATTACAAATTGTCGTTTTTGTGACTATACCAAGAAGAACACTATAGAATTTGTAAGAACAAACAATTTTAAATAGTTGTTGGAAATATAAGTACAAAAGAAAGAACATTACACCTCACATTTTTGTTAAAAAATGTTTAATTCTTGTAAAATACAGTGTTTTGGTTTTCACAAAAACAACAAAAACTAGAGCAAACATATAATAGCGGATTCTAAATTATAACCAAGCGTTGTCTATTGAGCTTCCTTAACCAATTGGGTAGATCAAGAAAACAGCAGTCGCAGCTGCAACAGGAGCTGAATATGCAACATCATTTTGTAATAAAGATTGTTTGTAATGAAAAGTGAGCACCATATATATGGTTTACAAAGTCGATCATTATGTAAATACTTGTGATTGGACAAACTGAAACGAATTAGTAAACGAATCATTAGTAAGAACATGTTGACGATAAAACCCGAATTACAGTCTGAAAAAAAAAAAAAACTTTTGGGGTGTAGTTAATCCAAGTATTTATGTATCAAAGTTGTTAGAAATTGGCGTAAAAACCTATCAAAATGAAACCAACGTGAGAAACCACAAATTTTGTGTCTTGCAAGTTGACATCGTATATAATTATGCTCGTATTTTTATACTTATTGACTGGGTGCAAAACTTAGAATCTCCCATTCCTTTTATACTAGTGTGTTGGCATCGTTCGTTGCATAGTAGGGATCATCTTTAAAAAAAATATTGAACTTAAATGAGTTTATGATCACATATTAGATGATAAACTAATATAAATCGATATTACACTTACTGCAACAACCTCTTCCACAACCTCTACAACCACCATCGACCATCGACCACCACATGTTCATTGCCACCTCACCTCCACCATTACCTTCACTACATTGGCCACAACTACCTCCTCCACCATTGTCAATCACCACCACCATAATCCACCATATTCACGTCCTTCACAACCGTCGTCCACCAACCACCACTGTCTCTACCTCCATAACCACCGTCGGCCATCGATCACCATCGTACATCGCCACTACCACCTCCACCATAACCAACACCATCTATACCACCACTGCCATCACTACTACTACTACCATCATTTATATCAAAATTTTCATTCAAATTTGGTACCATTATATATGTATGTATTTATTTATATGAAAACTGTGTAAAAATGTTTATAAATTAAATTCTTTAATTATTTACTTTATTTATGTTAATTATAGTTACTATATAATATTTAGAATAATCAAATAACTTTGAAGGACAAGTTGTCTAGTTCTCATCCAGTCCTAGTCGTACCAAACACCAGACCGTTACTTGTTCTGTCATATCCCGTCCAGTCCTGTCTCATCCAGTCCTACCCTCTTGCCTTGTCCAGTCATGTATTGTCCAACCCTGTCCAGTCATGGATTGTCCAACCCTGTCAAATTATTTCTTCGTACCAAATACTACCTAAAAGTATGGGTGCTCAAAAACCCGACCAACCCGATCAACCCAACTCAACGCAAAATAACCCAACCCAAATCAACCTAATATCTAATCGAGTTGTAAAATTGTCAAACCGTAGGTATTGGGTTGATATTGGATTACTATTATTTGAACCCAACCCAACCCGATATCATTTTATTTCTTGAATTTAATATGATTGTTGAATTTCTATTAATATATACATTAGACAATTACACTATCATGTATGCTTTTCATATACACATATTTTCAATCTATTCATATCTCTATATAACTCATTCAGTAACTATGAACATATATATGTAAATTGAGAAAATTAACTGAATATAATATACGTAAGAAATATGAATAAGCTGTATCAAATGGTTGATGATGAAAAAGAAATTATGAGTAGAGAAATAATATATTCAAGATTAGAATAATATTTTAATATATCAAAGTATCAACCCGACCAACCCGTACGGGTTGGGTTAGGTTGGGTTGCACTTTGGTTTGGTTTGGGTTAGGTTAAGATTTTTCCAGAACGCAAGCATTTGATTGGGTTGTTCAAATGTCCTCAACCCGATCAACCCAACCCATGAGCAACCCCTACCTAAAAATCTTTAACATAATTAATATTTTAAAAATTCAAAAAAACGAGAAAATTCATAGCTAAGAATCCTACTCTAAAAAGGTGTTGGTTTTCCTTTTAGATATATATGTATATATATACACACATATTAAAAGGAAAAACATTTCTATTATGTATTATGTTATGCCTCATATTGGTACTATAACGCAGTTTCTATGCCGATTTCCTAGTTGTCAGAAGATCAATGAAATAAATCGTCAACCCTAATGATCGCGAAGATAAAATAATCATAAGTGTTGATTATTACGTAGAAGCACAAACTAAGATGTAATCTTACAAGTTACAGTCATCCAAACTCTTGGCATAATCTCCTTTTATCCTAATCCTATACTCCTTATCATAAAAGTATAACATGCGTCAATGGCTCCTTGATATCAAAAAATCTAACCAAAACCGTCACATATGAGTAACAAACTGTCGTAACCAGCTGATACACATTTATCTATTAAAGGTTACAAACGATACTTTACTCGATGAAGGGGGAGCCTTACAAAGAATATCTCAATATAACGTAACAAAATGGTACTCATAAGGAAACACATGAGATTTCCTTGCATAGCCTTGACTTCTCAATAGTCCAAAGGCAACCCTGCATCCCGTTAGTTGGCTTGTCCTCTTCTTTTATTGCATCCGACACGCTAGCTCTAAGCTCGGTCTAGCATGACCATGTTAGGGGCGGTTTACCCAAATGCTTATCCGGTAAGTGCTTATCTATAGGAGTCAACATTATAATTTACCTTGATGGCGTAAGATTTTAGTACATCAAAACGTATTGAATGCAACAATTTACCGGGTAAGCACTTACCTGGGTAAGAGTCGTCATCTCTCTTAACTGGTAAGATTATTGTCCCTTGACATGTTCATCCGATGAGAAAATTTATCCGGTAAGCATTTACCAAACAAGCATTTAGTAAATGGCCCCTTAGTCATGAACAAGAATACATAAGTTAGAAGATCAAAAACCCTTTTTAGCGTAACCTAAAAAGGAAACAATCCTCATACATAAATGATTCACTACAACCGTACAGGTGCATTGATTCACTCCAACCGTATAAGTGTACTAACCATAAGGGTGGTGCCTGATTGGTTTAAGTTTGATTCTAAAGGTCAAAAGTACCTGGAGGTCTCAGGTTTAAATTCAAGAAGAAATAAAAATCCCTTTGTAGGCACGGAGGTTCAAATGCAGTGACTCCGTTCTATCTGCAAATGGATTTAAATCTTGTGAGTTAACCCAACTGATAATAAATTTAAAGTGTTTAAAGACTTTCTAAAAAATCACCGACTCAAGTTCTACATATCACTGATCTGGATATCCACGATTGACAAAAGAAAACTGGTCTATAAATGGTTGAATAAGAGACTCTTAATTGTAATTGTGAAGGAAGGAGATATGATGAAAACCATACAAAATGAAGGGACAATGGAACCGACCCGCCGATGCAATCGGATCCATATTGTGCCCCAGTTTCCTGATACTCGCGATCCGTTTCTTCTCTTGGATCACGCTTAACCTTACATACCCAAATAATCGCACGGTTGGAAAGGAACATCCGCCCCAAAATCGGGAGCGCTTTATTCTCACCTGAAGAAGACGAACAACACATCTGAAACAACCAAGATGGATGATTACACTAGAGAAATGATGGACTTGAAGACTCTCGTCACTCGAACCCTAGAAAGAAAAGGGGTTCTCGCAAAGATCCGAGTAAAACCCATTTCCCTTTAACCTATTTTTATTATTGAATTTCATCTGGGGTTTAATGACATTTGCCTAAAATACCCAAAATCATATGGGTTTTAATATTTCTTTACCTGAAAATGTTGGTTCTCTTGACAATGAGGCGCACACGATTGTTGGATCCTATGGGTATGTGTAGTTTGTATCATACGTGCGTGTGTTTTCTCTAAAATGATCGAGGAGAATGCTGATAGGTTTGATTAATTGTTGATTGAGCTCAAGGGTTTGGTCGTGTTTCTTATATGTTGTTATGGGTTAAAGAGGTGTTATTTTACCTGGGGTTTGGATGGTTCAAATTCTCTTGTAATGGTTATTTATTCATTTATTTTTGCATTTTGGTTGTGAATGTAATTTGTGTATTGCAATCTATTAGGGTTTCTATTGTTGAAGGAATGCTAATATGACTGTTTCGTTATCTATTAAGATTTTGTATCTCATTTATTGAGATTTAGGAATTTAAAAGAAAAGAGCAAACACTTAGGCTTAAGATATATAATGTTTTCACATTTTGGTGTTTATGTTATTGGAATTTATTAGTGAAAAGTTCGCATTTTCGTTGCTTGAAGATGATGAAATTTTAACTGTTCTTGTGTTTGGCAAAGGTGGATGTCAAGAGATCCTGTGGTGATCTTCAAGTGTTACTTTCTTGGTTCAGGATTCAGGCACGAAACCTCGAAAGCTGTTAAGAGAATTATTGTTTTCAATCTCGGGGGTTCAACCATTCGTGGAATGCTGTCTTGGATGTTAATAACATGTTCAAAAAACTGAATTATAACGATATAAGTCAGGGTTTTGGAAGAAGAGCAAACATAGTAAATACTGAGAATTTTTAGAGGGTTCAATGTAATGCAAGTGCACTAGAAACATAGTAAATTGTTGAACAAGAATCTTTGCAAAAGGAAACTACAGAAATCTTGAAGATGTTTAAACCTTAACTTTCTAACATAGAAATTATCAGCTTGTCATCCTGAACTCATGGTTAGCTATACGGTTCTAGTGAATCATTATGTACGAGTTTTGTTTCTTTTTTTGTTATGCTAAAGTATCAAGGTTTGATCTTGAACTTATGTATTTTCTCTTTTGACTTACTTGATCATGCAAGGCTGAGCTTAGATCAAGTGTGTTTGAAGCAATTGAGGAAGAGGATAAGGCAATCGAAAAGGATGAAGGCTTGCCTCCTGCATTATTGGGGAGTTGCAATGACCGTGCAAAGCAACTTCATGCTTCCCCTTCAGGTATATTGGTTCATGTTCATATTGTCATCTATTTAAAGTACCCTTTGGCCTTTGTTGAGTTTTTATCCAAATATTTCTTTAGCAAGGTTTCTCCCTTCGTGAGTTAAGTTTGGTTTATTAATAGATAATAATATGTCCATTTGGCCATGATGATGTAGATTGTAAGATTAGGATGAAAAGAGATTATGTCAAGAGTTTGGATGATCGTTGGATCCGGTTTGAGTTCGTGCTTGTATGCGATGACTAGTGTCTTGTAATTCCTTTTTTCTCATGACAGCCAGGGTTAACAATCTTCTTCTAATGATCCTCCAATAACTAAGGAGATCGATGGAGAACTAAATAGAAAGGCGTTTCTTTTCTGTAAGAAAATGAACTAGAGATTCTAATTCATAAACTAGCAATTATTAACAATAAAAGATAAACGAGAACCATTAATAGTGATCCTAATGCAAGCTGTAGCATAGTTTATCTTGGCATTAATCTTAGGATACGCGTTCAGAACTTCAAGTTGCCTATGTTGTCCTTCCAAATCCCTTCTTGTCTATATTCTGCCACACATTATCTTATAGTGGGGTTCTTCTGTTTATTGTAGCCAATCACGTGTCAAGATACGGGCATGATTATATATGTTATGTTGGCATGCAAAATGCAATTTGTGGTTTCTCATTTTGGTTTCGTTTTGATGTGTTTTCAGGTCGGCTTCTAACAGCTCTAATATGTGAGTACTTGGACTGGGCACAACTTAGCCATACGCTAAAAGTTTATTTGCCTGAGTGTAACATGGTAATCACGCACAAAGTTACAAGCTTCATTGTATACATGTGCTTGCTAATGATTTGTTTTAGTTTGTTTAACCACAAGTTTTTAATAGTGATTCAACTTTTCAAACCCATAGTACCTGGTTTTTCGTTAAAACCAATGATTCTTATAAAACTGAAATGAAAACGATCGATTTTGAAAAGAGAGCCAAGTAGCATGTTCGTTTTTTGTATTTACTTCTTCACAAAATGCTAAAATGGTTTGTTCTTGCAAGCTATAGTGCTGTTTTGGTATTTCCACTAGTGCAATAGTTTGCAGCCAAAGACCAAGTAAATAACTACTTTTTTCAGTGCAGTTTCGTTAACTTTTTATTAAACCTTGCATTGCAGCAAAAGGATGCCTGGAAATCCGAATTAAAAGACTTCAGCAATAAGAACGGATATGATATAAACCGAAACGGTGATAGTGGTCCATTACTGTTGGATGTACTTGAAGGGTTCTTGAAATTTGAGGTTGTTTACTATTTTGTCCCTGGTGCTCTATCTATCATACTATTGTGTATGCCATATTACCATTTCTGCTGAAAAGATCCACATGACACCGGTTTTTAAACTTGATTGGAAGGGAAATTGTGGTATCTTTAGTTTCTATCTAAATAATATTCTTATGATTTGATTCATATGTATGTATACTCATAGTTTTTGGTTCGCCAATCGAGTTGAGCAGTGTAAAACGTATCCCATGAAGCATAAATTGAATCAGATTATAGATTCACTTCATTCTCTTGTAAATGGGTTTATTTAATATGTATGGATAATTGCATATAACGCAAAAAGTATGGGTCTCATCTCGTAATACTTGCAAGTTTCTGTTTTATGTCGTCAACAATGCTAATAAGAATCGGTTCTTGTAGAATCAATCTCAAGTAAGAACTGGTGGAAGGAGAATAATGACCTCCGAGCAAGACTCTTTGTCCAATTTTGATTCTCGAAACAGAAGGCCATCTTCCTCATCTGTTATCGGGGGCTTGCCGCCTCTTGGAAGGTAAATTGCATCCACCATGTCTCATGAACTTCTAACTTGATTTTCAATTGTATGCATTGTTCGACTCTGTGTCAAATATCTGAAATAATGTAATGACGATAATAAAATAAGAGAAACTTGTGAACCCAAATAACAATGGGGAAAAAGATATTCTAAGCTCTCTTTTTGTTTTAGTATTAGCAATAATGCTTATTTTTTGTCTCATATTCCAGGCAAATTCCGGCTTCCCAGGCATCAGGTAAATACTTTAATTGCTTTCTATTAGGAATTCTGTTCGACTATAATGTTATTTGTCCTTCATTAATTACTCAGATCGAAGGGGAGGCTCCTCGAATTTGGGCTTCAATCGAAGATACGAGGGTGATGATAATCCCGAGGACATTATGCGGGCCTCTGCTGCCTTGGAAAACCTTCAGTTGGACAGAAAGGCTCGTAATTTGACGAGCTCTTGGCGGTTAGTTTACACAACCATCCACCTTATTTGTTCCAAAATTAAACCCCCTTTGTAACCATAAAACTTAAATTGCACCAAGAGACTTGTAAACTACATGCTCATATTGGCTTGAGTCGTTAGCTTTGTTGAGCTGCCAAGCCCAAGCCATATTAGGCTTGAGCTCTGTCTTAAATAGTCGAATGAGCAGTCTGCTTGGCTCAAGATCACCAAGCTTTTTGACGAGCAAGCTCGTTTCATCAACACCCCTTGTCTAGATGACCTAACTGTGGCTAGTACAATAAATGCTCATTGAGCTGCCAAATCCAAGCCATACTAGCCTTGAGTTCATCTTGGAAAGTCAGACAAGCCAGCTTGTCTCATCAACATCTCTAATAATGGTCTTGCCAAACTTTTTGACATGGTGGCCCGTAGCTCACAAGCTCTCATGAGCAGGCTGCACCAAATCCCTAATACTTGAGACCTCATCTGGGTGTGTTTTGTATGCGGACAGGACTGGACTAGCGAGAGACAGAGAGGTATGAAGGTGAAGAATTGTGAAAGCTTTTAATTTGACATGGGTAGTTTAGTAATTTACCAAAGAAACTGTATTTTTGCCCCACTCAGTCTTTGTCTTGTCTTGTCGCACCAAACGTGGGACCACAAACTCTTGTTCTGTCATGCCCCGCATACCAAAAGCACCCATAGAACAAAAAGTATACCAGTTGACGAAGATGACATTTTAGGCACAAAGCAGAAACATAGAAACACTTGATGATTTGATCTTGTTTGACAGGCACGGAGGGGATGGCAGCAGCGAAGAAGATGGCAGGGGAGACCATATGTGATGTAACTTCACTTGAGCCTTGGTGTAGTTTGTAGTTGAACTTGGTACTAGTGTTTCAAAGCCCATTGGGATGATCCCTTTTCTCAAGGGTGGATCTGATTCAAATAGCAACAACTGTTGTATGTGTTTTTTAATACCATGATTGAAAATTATCCGCAATCGCTTTTTTTGCAACTATTTTCGTAGTCTTGTGATTGATGTCTTTGTAGCTTCAGCATAGCAGGTATGGAGACTGTTAATTTTTGCAAAATGAGTGAGAGGTCTGTTGTTCACCATGCACCTGGATTCCCCTTTTAAAGGCTGAAAGAGTCTTAGGGGCCGTTTACCAAACACTTAACTGGGTAAGCGCTTATCAAATACCTTACCAAGAATCTTATCTAGTACGAGGGAAACAAGGACCGAGAGTCTTACCTGGTAAGTGAGGGCAACGACTCTTACTATGGTAAGTGTTTACCGGGTAAATTGTTGCATACGATGCCGTTTTTAAATTTTAGTGTCCATTGTATCTAATATATAATTGTATCATTAATATTCAACAACTGATTTATCTATACTCCTTAAGAGCAGTTATAGTTATTCTTGAACTTTTAAGAGATACCACTCTATAAGCTTAATGTATAGATTTTAAAGCTCCAACATTTTACCATATTAAAAATCAAATCATTTATAATTTTCGAATTACATTTTATGTCCTTATAATTAGTTTACTTTTTATTTTTCATTTTTATTATATTAACATAAATAATCGTACATGAACAAAAATATATTAAAAAATAAGTTTCTTTTTTTACAAACAATACTCTCATAATCATCTCTTCTATACATACGAAATGAGCTCAATATTAAATATCATTAGATTTTGTTGAACTATTAAATATCATAAATATCTTCGAATTAATTTATTTTATATCCTTACATTAAAAATTTGTAAACCTTAAAAATATTAAAAATTCATAATCAAACTAAGTAATATATATTAAAAATATGTTTTTTATTATAAATTATACCATTATAATTTTTTCGTCAATACATTTAAAATATGTTCATTATTGAATATTTATGGATTTAATAATATAATAAATTATCATGAATACGTAGGAAATAATCTAACACACACACACATATATATATATATATATATATATATATAATATTAGTAAGCAAGTATAATGGTTATTGTTGAAAAAAAATCAGGTATAATAATCTATATTAGGTATTCTTTACTTATGTTTATTCAAAATTTACACTCAACTACATTGTACATGTATACAACTAAAATCGGAGTAGACAAAAAAAACATACATGAAAAATGATTGACATTTTAAAATCTCGGTTTTAAATCGAGACACACAGAGTAGCATCACACGAACACCTTACTAGTATGAATTAAAAGACATCATCTACCAAAACCCAATAAATATCAAAAGACATTATTTCTTGAAAAATATCATTTTCTACCGACCCATTGGAATTTTCTGGGTGATCCGTGACGGAAATTTCCACGGGTGATTTTTATGGGTATAAGGCATTTGTTTTGTAATGTACCATCAAACAAAAACATTATATAATACTAAAATATGTAAAATAAAAGTAATGTAATAGTATTTGATTTGTTTTATATAAATGAAATATATAAACATTAGTAGAATATATTATTCGGTTTAACCAAGTGAACCGAAAACTGAATCGGATAAAGATTCTATCTCGTTAACTGAATCATTTAACCCAAAAACCAAATAACTCGAAACCATTTAATTCAAATTTTATTCGGTTCGGGTGGGTTATTCGGTTTCACTTCTTTTCAACACCCCTACTCTCTTGAGCATTTAAATCTAGAGAATTTTCTAAATTTAGAAAAATTATTGCATTTCTTCTACTTTTTCTGTTTAAAAAAAAAAGTTTTGGAGTAAACAGGTATACGTTGAAACCCCATATATTTTCTTTATTTTAGAGAATCAGTTAGGATTACCATGTGCTTCATAAGATGTACATACCAAATTCGGGTGAACAGTGAACAATAACCTGTGATATATAACAAAAAGTGAGAACAACAATTATATCAAATAGTGGCCCCTTGAGCAGCGTGTGGTTTAGTTGGTAAAATGATAAGTGATTTTATTTAAATATATAAAAAGTAAACTTGCACCCCTCCGTTAGTCTCAGACGTTAAGTCAGCTCTGAAACGCCTCATCACATGTGGTTGCGTAATCAACTTTTTGCTCAAATATTATCTCAAGTAGCACCCTCATAAAATTTACGCCATGAACACTCGATCAAATAATATTTCAAAGTTCAAATGTGTGTTTATTTCGGGCAATAATGAAACTATAGTAAGATCAAAATCCGTCGATTTAAAAAATCGAAAGAGGATAAATCGAAATATAGCTACTACATCAAACTAAAAAAATATCCTTTACATGATTCTCACTGTAATGTTTGTTATATATGTTTTTTCACAAATTTTATAATCATAAAAATTCAGCATGTTTTCAGTGACATGTATTTTAGTATTAGGACCTTGAACTTCGTGCAAAAGGGTTTTTTATAATGTAATATCTAAGGCGACCCACACCATCTTGTCTCAAACGCTCATACAATTGACGAATCAGGTACACAACTTCTACTGTGTGGCCAGCTTACTTAAGAGCATGATGCCCACATAGAGCTCAATGTTCGAAAGCCAACGGAATTGTAACTCAGACATCACGAGTGTCAAACTCAAACCCTCCAATTGGATCAAGAATGAGGTCTTAAGAAATTAATTTGACGAGAAATGACAGATTTAGTTGTAAAAATATTAATGAAAGAATGCATGAATTATGGCATTATATGATGGTTCAATCATGTTTAAATATGCTAAAAGGTTAGAAATGCATGCTATAAGTGTTGTAATGCAAAAAGAACAAAGGATAAGATAGTGAAAAACGAGTTAGAATGACCTGGAAATGCCAGTGATTCGTGCTCCTCAACTTTCGATACAATGCAAGTGATTTGGAGCGAAGTGATGCAAACCAAATTAGCAAGGAGAAAGCACAAGTTGTCGGTACTCCCTGGAGCAAAGGTGGTGAATGTGCGTAAGTATTTCCTGCATATAAATACATGTACTTCAAAAAAAGGATGAAGCACAAGAGATATAACGTGACTTGGAAGTCGCGTAGAAAAAGTCGTGCAACTATACAGGGGGCAAATTAGTCTAAGCGACTTGCCCATAATCGCCTTGGTTCAGTGAGACCAGAATAGTCACGTTTGAGGTCCTTCTCTTACGTTTTATAAGGATTCTTGAATCTTTTTGTATAAACCAAGATCTCTAAAAATTTTTGATACATAAGAATAACGTTAAAAACTTCAAGATTTATTCTCTCTCTAAACTTATGATATTAAAATAAGCTTTAACAGCAAAATCATTTAAGAGAAAAGTTGTACGAGATCACAAGAGGCTACCATTTGATAAACACATGTCGGGTACATGTTATAACCTTAAAAAAGTAGACGATGACGTTTGGTCATCAAAACCGTTTCCAAGACCTTTCTCATTCGTTTTTAAACTTAAAAACCCAATACAGAAGAAATTGAACAAAAATGTAACGTGTTAGGATAAGATACCCACCAACATGGAATATATAGTTGAGGCCTAAAAGCCTTGATGATTCTATTGTAAAGTTTCATTCCAACCATTCATTCAAGAACACCCAACATCCAACCCCCTAGGTACGTTATATGCTACTAATCCATGTTAATCTATTCTCGCGGTAGAAGAAGTGTCGGTGTAATTGATATGAGTAAGGTCTTGGATTTGAACTCGGGCATCGTTCCTCTGCCAATATGATGAATGCACTTATTTACTTCTTGGCGAAGTGAGTTGGCTGTTTCGAGCTAGGGCTAAGTGAGCCAGAAGTGGGAGAAGGGGTGCTCTCCTATCTTTTGATTAGGAAAGCGGCAAACCACAAGGGTGGTGCCTGATTGGTTTGAGCTTGGCTCCAAAGGTCAAAAGTACCCCAGGTTCAAATCCAAGGAGGAATAAAAATCCTCTTGTGGCCACGGAGGTTCAAATACGGTGACTCCGGGCTATCTGCAAAGTAGGTGGTTGCCCTGAGATTAGTCGGCTCGCATAGCGGGTTAGATATCTAGGTTAATCAAAAAAAAAAAAAAAAACAGCACATACCAGGGGGTAGCGACTGTTTATTAAAAACACAGGACTCTGCTAAGTGATAACACGATGTATAGAGTCTGACACCTGCCCGGTGCTGGAATAATATAGACACGGTGATCAGTTGGACCTTTGATTCATTAACATCTCTTTTTTCCTCTATGATGGCCGTAGGACCAGTACGACGAGAGCACCACAAAAGGTGGCATCTACCTTTTTTTTTTCTATGCAACTAACTACATATTGACATAATAGTTCTTTTTCACAAAAAGCCAGACTACCCACATCCCCCCTAATTGGCTCTTAAGAAGCTTTTCGGGAAGTTCAAAAAGCACCATTTTGATATCAACGTATAATTACAAAGGTAATACAACTCGTAAAAGATTACTACTACAAACACTTATTATTAGCTCACTTCATAAAGTTGCACACAAATGGATCCAAATAGTCCCAAGAAAGTCTCAACCGATCTGAATCTGACAAGGTGAAGACTGAACCCAAACGAGTAGGCTGGTTGGTATAGAAAAAGCCTAATCTGATCTGAAAAATACCCAATCCGATTCATTTTCTTCGGTCTGTTTAAAAAAAAGAATAAAAAAACCAGACTAGTATCTAATGTTATGGACTTTATATGTTCCAAACAATATTGGTTTTTATCTTGTCTAACTAGAAATTATATAAATCGTTTCAAAAAAGGACCGATAGTCTGATGATGTCATGAACCAGTCGTTATCCAATCATGCCAAATCCAATTCATCGAGCCACTCCATCTATAACTCTTCATATCAATATTTTTATCTCTTTTACTTAGATATATATTTATTCACCAAAGGTCGATTACATACCTCCAATTTGTTTATAGTTGTTGTACTGTGAAACACTTAAAGTTCATCACAAAATTTAACGTTTAAATTCCAATTTAAGAATAATATTTATGTCATACTGAATTTGGACCTCGAATTTAAATTACAATTGTCGTGTAAGTTGTGGAGTCGAATCGAATTAAACTTTTTTCA